ATAAAACAGATGGAACAGTTGGCAGTTATAACTTCATATTAGGTCATTGCTAAACATCCGATGTACAAATATGCCACATAATGTAACTTTCTGGTCAACATTAGATTAGAGTAATATACGTCCTTCGTCTGAAAGGTAATAAATACATAACACGAGATAACACTAATGTATGTAATTTTTCAAAGGTACAGAACAGGGTTGTTTATTAATGTAAAACAAAGTTCTCATTATAACAATGGCCACTGCATGGTGAATATCAAACTATATATATATCAAGATCAATATTTGTTTATTTTCCTTTGTAATTATGTGTTAAAACAAAGGATGATGGTTAATGTTTATTCAGTGTTGCAACACAGTGATCAGGACTATCTTCGATAGTGCAGGATGTGATTTAACGGTTTTCTTGCAGGTCTGTGAATCCGAGGGGCCATGGTTCGCAACTTGTTTCAACAGAAATGCGCTCTGCACTTTGGGGCAGTGAATGCCTTATAAGATATACAGACAAATCTCACTATTTGACTAGAGTCGCCCAAACTTGGCGGAAGATGCTGCTGATTAGCTGCCTTTTCTCTACTTTATCAGTTCAAAATTAGGGACGGTTATCGAATATAGCCCTTGTGTATATTTGTGTGAATATTCTTAGCAAACAAGAAAACGACCTCTTCTGGAATAATTACGCTAGGACTTGTTTAAGTTATAGATAATGTCACATTAACTTTTAGAAACAAATTGTTAGACCATAAAACTGAGTATCACTCCAAGTATGCTTTCTTCATTAGTTTGTAACTATTTCTTATGTTCAGATGCTGTTTTGGTTTGTTTGTTTGTAGTTAAACACAAAGTTACAAAATGAGCTGTCTGAGTTTTCCCACTACGGGCATCGAAACCCATTTTTTAGCGTTTTAAGCCTACAGACTTACCGCTGTGCCACTGGGACGCTGCTATTTAAGCTTATTGAGTTAGGCTATTGAGGCTGCTCCTTTAATCAGTAGTAACGTTCTTATAGCATAGAATATCAATTTTTGTTTTTAACCTAGACCATTGGTAAACATTAATTCGTTACAAAGTTCTTATAGCAATAACAAACATTGCTAAACAATAACCATAACAAAGTTTTTGTTAACATTAAAATTCTTGAACCTTGAGCTATTACAAAGTTCTTATGATGGAAAAACATAGGTGAAAATTAATCTATAACTGGGTTTTTAACATCTAATATTCCTGAACATTAATATATAACTGAGTTTTATTAACATTGAACATACTTGAATATTAATCTATAACACTAAACATTACCGAAGACTAATCTGTAATTGAAAGTTATTAATACTAAATATTGCTGAACATTAATATATAAATGAGATTTATCAACATCAAACATCACTGAACATTAACCTATAATTGAGATTTATTAACATTAAACATCACTGAACATTAATCTATAATTGAGATTTATTAACATTAAACATTACCGAAAACCAATCTATAATTGAAAGTTATTAATACTAAATATTGCTGAACATTAATATATATAAATGAGATTTATCAACATAAAACATCACTGAACATTAATCTATAATTGAGATTTATCAACATAAAACAAATATGAACATTAATCTATAATTGAGATTTATTAACATTAAACATCACTGAACATTAATCTATAAATGAGATTTATCAACATAAAACATCATTGAACATTAATCTATAATTGAGGTTTATTAACATTAAACATTCTTCTTCCTCGTAACGACTAGTTTGGGGTCGGTTGGTAATTTTGTAAGCCAAGAATTTTTACATCCGGATGGCCTGCCCAGTCGACAATCATAAAGGACTAGCAAATTTAGCGACCTTCAGATTGCTGTTCGAGCGACCTGACCACCAGGACATATCAGGCCCTTATTAACATTAAAAATTAATCTGTAACTGAGTTCTATTAACATTGGACATAGTGATACATTAGTCTATAATTGATATTTATTAACATTAAACATTGCTGAGCATTAATCTGTAACTGAGTTTTATTAACAATAAACATTACTAAATATTAATTTATAATAAAGCTCTTAACAGAAAAACATACTTGATCATTAATCTATTATAAAGTTTTTATAACAGAAAAACATACCTGAACTGATTTTTATTAATATTAGCCACTGCTGAACATTAAATATATTTGACTGATATTTATTAACACTAAACATTGCTGAACATTAATCTATATTAAAGTTCTTAACAGAAAAAAAAAACATCACTGGACATGAATTTATAACTCAGTTTTATTAACACTAAACATTATTGAATATTATTGTATTAAAAAGTTTTTATAAAATATTTGAACATTAACCTATGACCGAATTTTATCAACAATAAACATAGCAAAACATTAATCTATTATAGAGTTTCTATAACAGAGCTGAACATATAAATAACCGAGTTTTATTAACGTTGAACACAGCAGAACATTAATCTATAACTGTGTTTTATCAATACTAAACATTGCTTAACATTAATCTATTAGAAATTTCTTGGGGTCCAGGACAATAAAGATCATTAATCCAATCCATAACTAAGTTTTTGTACACAATAAAACACAGAATATTGTTTAACATTATCCTAAAAAGTAATAAACCTAGTTTAACTTATTCTACAACAAAAACTCTTCTTCTTCCTGGCGCCAGGAATAACTTAATCATGACAATACCACCTTGCGTGTAGCCGATCGATTGCTCTTATCAACTTAGGCAGTTTGTTTGCTCGTATCATTTCGGTAAGGACACTTTCATAAAACGCCATTCTACGTACTCGACACTTTTCTGATGGGTTAAGTGAATTCTGTGCTTTCACTTAATTCAGTTCTTCCATCACATTTTAAAATAAAAAACGAAAGAAACTGTTTATATTTTCCAAATACCTTTATTTCAACAAAGTTTCACGAAACAGGAGATTTCAAGTAAACAGATGCGAATATTCCAACTGATCGTTTGGACAGCTACTTCCTGTCATTTTATATAAAAGATAACATTCTTTACTATCGGATATACCAGGGAGTAAACTACCAATCTTCCGCTTTTAAAGACAGTTCGAATAATGCCCTGATTGTGGTTTGAATATCTGACTTAGGGCTTACTTTAATTTAAATATGACTTAGAAACTGTTTCAATCAAACAGTTTCTGAAAAGAAGGAAACATTTCAAAACCACAAACGATCTTGAAATGTATGATCGAGATCGCAAAAAAAAAAATCAACTACATCCTATGTTAATACTTTTACTTACTTCTTTTATGGCGTTTGTATAGGCTATTCATACTTAGTAAGTAGGTAAAGATGAATATAAATATACACGCATTTATGATTCAGATGATACACGTACAAATAAATGTAAAATTTCAGTGGTTTCAGGGCATGAAACCTCGTGATTCTGACTTTAAAACTCCATCGGTTTCAATACAAACAAACTAGCATCTCTGCCTTTGATGTAGATAATAATGGTCTCACGTTCAGTAACAAATTAGATTCCCCTTTGTTTGTTTTAGAATTCGTGGAAAAGTACACAAAGGGTTATATGTGCTTAGTAGTCCCTGATTTGGATTTGACAGGCTAGTGGGAAGACAGCTAATCAACAATTCAAACCGTCAACTCTTTGACTAATGTTGTCTCATCGATTTGACCATCACTTTTCATAGCGAACACACACAATCCCATAGTCCGGAGTGCGTTTTTGCGGCAAAGGGTCGCGATCAAAGATTTCACAGTCCCCACGCTAACTACTTTTATCTTGAATCCGTAATTTCTAGCAATTTTATGATTAATATATTTGTGTTAATATGTACTTATCCACGTGTTTATTTATGCACGTATTATATAACCTTATTCACTTTTAAAAAAAAGAAGGTCTACCTACCGAAAAGGCTCAGCCCAGCAGGTTTCTTATTTTGTGATTTATCTATTTTTGGTTTATTTCGCGTGGAGTATCATGAAACGGTCTCTTGACTCATATCAACGTCAACAAGACGTATATTTTAAGGCCAGTTTAGTATCTAGTAGTAGTAGATTTGTTATTGCAATTTGCAGTTTTTTGTCCGCTTACGACGAATATATTCAACCGAAGCAAAGTTTGAAATCACAGAGCAAAAGCGTCCCGGTTAAGCCATTTATTTATAATTTACCATTTTTGGTGACTTAAGTTTTTCCCAATTTTTTATTTTCCATTTAATTTTCCAACAGCAGTATTTGCATGAATAATAAAAAATGTTGGAACAGGTTGAACCATCGGTGAAAAGATAGGTTAAGTTTATGTACCATATTACCCCGTTTAATCGTTATTCACTGTTCTTTACTTATATTCGTTTGTTTTCGTCATAAATTAGACGATGAATTATTTCGTATTTATTCTGTGGCGAATAATTCATGTGCTGAAAATGAACAAGCGAGATCATTAACGTATCCCTGAAAGTAAAATGGCGGAAAAAGAACCTGTGTACTGAGGTGTGAATATTTCCGATTAATTTCCGGCGTTTTCCGTCCATCCTGTTTTAAACTTCGTAAAGTTTGTGTACTTAAACGTTTTAAATATCCGGTTCATGGAAGTTTCATGTATAATTAACAGCGGTTGTTGAATAATGATACTTGCATTATTTTATTGGATATGGTTTATAGAACTAAAGAAGAATGGTATTACTATTAGGATAAGCAATACACAAATACGTATAATTTTTTAAAAATTTATTAGGTTGTACTTGTAGTAATTTTTATGCATATTGAGGCATACGTTATGTCAAAATGTGTAGTCTCAGTTGATTTACGTTTTTTAAAGATTATTGGATATTACATTTGTTTCGCAGTATTTCCAATACACCTATGACAGATGGTCTGATCATTAACATGATTTATGATCATGTTTTAGTAATTCAAATATGTCAGCTTAAATAAATAGCTCATTACGTCAACAGCAAGTAAAGAAATCTGCCCATTAATTAAAAATTTTAAGACGTACCCTGACTCGTTTGGTGTATGGAAGATCAGGATTTGAGTCCTAGTCACCACAAAATATAGAATACGGAAGAATTCGGCGCCTATTTACGACGAAAACAAAATAATAAAAAAATTGAGTTCAATGAAAGATGAATAAACGGGGTAAATAAACAGAAACCTACCTCTTCCAGCCTCTCTCACCGCACAAATGCTATGTGTGCTTCCAAGGTATCGAAACCCTGATTTTAGCGTTATAGTTTTATCATTCCTTCATGGGGCATGAAAAGAAATGACACGTAACTTTTCACTGTGGTAGGAACTTTTCACAAACAAGCAAAATAAAATCAGATTAAAATTAAGAAATCAAAATTATATTCTAAAACAAAAACACATTTAAATTAAGAAAATCTAAATTACGCTAAAAATTCCAAATTAAATAAGGAAACTAGTTTGAAATAAACAAAACAAAATAAATTGATGACTATATTGTTACGCCTCCGTTCGTTAGTTAATTTTCCGTAAAATATCTTTCCGAAGAAACTATAGTGATACAAGTCCTTTCTTAAATAAAACTGGTTTATTCTTTCTGAATACAACTTTGCAATACACTTAATTTCCCACAGTCACGCTATAACAAACGCTATAATTCACAACGAACGTCTCACGTGCTCGACTCAACAATACGTCTCTCTCTGTCCGCAGTTCAATTACACATTGTTGCCGTCAGTTCTTGGCGGCTTATATACAAAAATACCGCATATCTAGTAACCTCTCGAGGTTTCATGAACGTTCTAGAAAAGTATGACGTGTTACAAGTGTCACGTGACCTCCGCTGTCGTAGCAATATATACAGGTTTCAGTAAGTAATAATGGCTTAGTCCAAGATATATTTTCAACTGTTTAATTCCGTTTAAAAACAACTGTGAAGTTTAACTGTGTTTACCTAATAGTCGTGCCAAAATATGTAGGTAAAATAAATAGATGAAATATTAATGCTGTCAATCAACAAACTATTTTGTTGTGAAACGGTGGTAGTTATTTTAAGCATTCTAGCAAACTGTCATGCAAACGAGATTAATTTTGGAGTTTCTCTTAATAACTATACAAATTTACTAACAATGTTTTAATGTAACTTTTGTATAGTGGGGCGCAAGTGAAAATAACTCTAGCGCACGAACGATGTTTAATTGGGAATAACTTATAAATGAAAAAAAAATCCGTATTTTGAGGAAGAATATTGCTGTAATCTATATTTTTTAATGTTTCATTTTAGATGTTAACTAGAGGGCCATGACGTTAAAGAGGCTTAGAATACCTAGAATGTTTTAAATGAAGTCACGAAAATCTAGTAACTTCAATGAATATTTCAGTAGAAGTGGGACATAAGTTTTACATACATATATGTGTTAGTAGCGTGAAGTAGTGGTGAAATGTGAGAATGCCTAGTAGTTGTTGATCGAGTAAGAGTTAATAAGGAAGTTAGTTAGTTTTCAGTTGGTAGAGTGAAGTATTTGGATCAGTGTTAGTTATCGTGTATGTTCAGTTACTTGATACGATTAACTGTGAAATTGTACAAGTAAGTTTATTTTTACGTTAATTGTAGTATCATTAGCGAGATATTTCCGTTTAATTGTTATTTGTAAATTTAGGTTTACAAGTATAACTGAGTACAAATAACTGATAGTAGCCAGTGTTAAGGAAGAAATAAACTAATTTATTTCGTTACGTGGATTGGGCTTCCAATTATTTTCAACAACTAATTTAAAAGAACCAGCCCGACGAAAGAACAGAGTTACAATGCTAATAAAATAAATGTATATTCACTTCAGTCTTGGTTTGTTTTTTTAATTTCCCGCAAAGCTACACCAAGGCTATCTGCGCTAGCCGTCCCTAATTTAGCAGTGATAGACTAGAGGGAAGGCAGCTAGTCATCATCACCCACCACCAACTCTTGAGCTACTCTTTTACCAACGAATAGTGGGATTGACCGTCACATTATAACGCCCCCACGGCCGAAAGGGCGAGCATATTTGGTATGATGGGGGATTCGAAACCGCGACCTTCAGATTGTGAGTCAAGCGCCCTAACCACCTGGCCTACTCCAGTCTTTGCAAACAAAAGTAATTGCACATTTAAAGGTGGAAACTTGTGCATGTAAAAACGTTATGATTGCGGAATAAAAAATAGCAGAAAAATTAGATGAATCGTTATTTTACCAAACGACTAAGTAATTTTCCTGTAGTTTATTTGAAATATTTATAGTTTTGAGGCTTATACTTTATTTATCAGTACTAAATACCTATTATTTGAAATATTTATAGTTTTGAGGCTTATACTTTATTTATCAGTACTAAATACCTATTCATTAAATGCTTTCAAAATTTAAACTTTATGTATGAAGCAAAGAAAACATTAACCATTCGTATAAACATAAAAACATGTTTGTTTAAGTTCCAGAAAGATGAAATGCGAAAACAATTTGGTTTTTAGAGGGAAAAGACCTAATCTTTTGTCGAAATAAATCTACCTAAGAAAAAGTTTGTTATAAAAATATCATATGACTGAAATAAGGTGTATCACTTCTGGTCTATCATTTCAAAATTAGGGACGTCTAAGTGAAGATAACCCTTTGTAGTTTTACGTGAAATCCTGAAACAGTGTTATTTTGTTTGATAATAAACACGAAGCTATACAATGGGCTATATGTGCTGTGCCTACAGCGGGTATCGAAATTCGATTTTTAGCGTGATAAGTCCTTAGGCTTACCACTGAGCCACCGGAGGGAGGAAGAAGGGGCATTCTAAAACAAACTAAAAAGGTATAGATCTTAGTTACTTGTTAAGCAATACAAAAGACAACAGAAACTATTACGATATGCACTGCTATTTAAATTTCATACCACCATTTCCATCTACGTACTCAAATAAATTCGAATAACGACACTAAGTTAACTTATCGAATTCAAAAGAAGATGGCTCTTAACACTACAGACGGACATAAACGCACACCAGTAATCTGAAAACGATAAACAGGACTGAATAAAGTATGCTAAGTGAAGGGCTGAACTCTGTCCTAACACGTAACAAAATATCCACCTTATACTTACAAACAAGAAGACAAAACTTAAATCCTACCAGAAGAAGAAGAAGAAAGACGAATTTAGAACTAGAATGAAACCAACAATCCAGAAAAAAAAATGTAAGCCTCACTATAATATCATTCTAACAAAAAATAAAAATGTTGCCAGGAACTTAAAGAAAGACAACACTATAACAGTTGTACCAGAAGATAAAGGTAATGCCATTGTGATTATGGGCCTGGTATGACCTGGTGGTTAAGTTACTCGATGTGCAATCTGCGAGTCGTGGGATTGAATCCTGTCACCGAACATGCTCTCCCTTTTAGCAGTGGTGAGTTATGATGTGACAATCAATACCACTATTCGTTAATGAAAAATAACCCAAGTGGTGTTGACTAGCTGATTTTCCTCTAGTCTATCACTTCAAAATTAGGGACAGCTAGCGGAGGTAGCCCTTGAGTAGTTTTGCGCGAAATTCAAAACAAACAAACGTAAAACAAATACTGTAATTATGGGCAACGAGGAAAACACTGACAAGGTTCAAACTTTAGCTGACGATGCCACGACGCAAATAATTCCAAATCACAGTTAAATTGAAATAAAAGTTACATCCTTGCAAGGCTTTCGAACTCCGGTATCAAATGTCATAAGCGGATAAAAATGGTGACCATGGTTAACCCTCCAGTTAACAGCTGGTACCCATCATATAGCTAATTAGACTGAAACAAGTGAAGTAAAATGTATTGTGTAAGGACACAACAGCACGACACCATCCAACTACAAGTCCAAATCGATAAGTCACTGAACCCTGCTGCCTCAACCCACAAATAACAGAGAGAAAAAATTAACCAACCTAGAACAGAAACAACTAGCAGTGCAACACTGAGTCACCCCAAGCAAACATTATGGCCTATCTAACATTCACAAATATGGTTATCCTCTCCATTCCATAGTTACCTGCAGAGATATGCCATGTCACCCTTATCTTGGCAGCAGAGAGAGAGAGATATTCCGCCAATAACTTGAAACTGATAGAAGGCTCGGATAATTTATCCAATTACCAATCTCCACGATAATAGAACTCACAACTTTCTGTATCAATACATGTTACTTCTGACATGAAGATAAGTACTACTAACAAGAAGGCCTAGTCAGGCTTTCTCTCGTATTAACATCACTCGGTAATTTATACTAATTTCAAAGATAACGCCTTCAAAACAGCTGCTCTAAGTTTCAGGATTTGGCTCAGACAAGATTCCAAAATTCGTGAGCCACCTGAACAGACTAAACTTCACAGTAAAATTCACAATGGAAATATAAAAAGATAACAAACTTCCGTTTCTAGATATGATAGGTACCAAAACACATAACTCATATACTACAGGAGTTTACAAGAAACCCACAGATACGAGTAAATACCTCGAGTATAAACCAAACAACCCCAAGAGCGTAAACACTGAAGTCATAGACTGCTTAGTCGCCAGTATGGAATAGTTTTGTAACACTGAAGATGCTAAGAATGAGGAAGAAAAAATATGTCGCTACATATATTCCCCCTTGACGACAGATTTCCGGAGCCCTTGATAAAGACGGTAAACACTAAGAGTAAGCAGAAAGAAAATTACAGGCAAACAAACATATTTTTCTATGCCAAAAAGTATCACTGAAAACATATAAAGGATACGTAAACAGTATAAAGTCAGAACAGTATTTAGAAGCCAAAACACAATACAATCACAATTTATACAAACCAAACCATCTAGAGACTGGATGGAGAGCAAAAATTTCATTTACCGTATCTCTTGTAAATGAGGACTCCAATACAGTGGAAAAGTAAAAGGATCAACAAATGTTAGAATTCGTGAGAATAATTGGCGTACAAGAGTGTAATACTGACCTGTTTGCAGAAGTCCATCATGCCAGAGAACAAGATCATACAAGAAAATTGAAATAATACAAATGTAATGAGATATGAATCACACGTGAGAAAAAGAAATATAAAAGAAGCCTTCTACATCCACC